CCCCTATACACGCTTTTCTCTAGCGTGGTGGGAGGGGCAACCGGCGCGACACCTACGACAAGGTAGGCGAGCGACCCTTGGTTCCAAACCTATTCTCGACGTTCGTGGCGCACCGACAAACCACCTATACACGCTTTTCTCTAGCGTGGTGGGAAGGGAACTCGGTGCGACGCCTACGACGAGATCGGGAAATTCATAAGTACCTGCTTGCGGGGAAACAACTGCTTCTCTTTTGCAACAGGTACCGAAGACCCATACACGCCTTTCTCTGGCGTGGTGGGGACAAAGACTTTACACGGCCGCGGTGTTCTCGAAAGAGGGCACCTACCGTACACGCTTTTCTCTAGCGTGGCGGGAGGCCCAGTTTTTCGACGTTTTTCCCTTAAACGGGGGAGACGCCGGGAGGCTGCCGAAATTTCGGGTGAAAATATACTGTACTCAGACCTGTTTGAACTCAAAGAGAACAAATATTTGGCCACATCGGGCAACTAGGGAAGTGACCCTTCTCGATTCAATTTTGTTTATTCTGAGTCCAGGCTCACGGGCAATGGAGCATTTTCCTGAGCTGATCTTGAAACTTGTTATTGTTATATTTTTGATTCAGCACTTTTGTATACTTGCTGAATTAGTCTCTTTATAGTTTTGCAGGGTCTGTTTTTTTTGGCCTTTTATTTTGTATTGAAGTTGTAATTTTTACAGTTTTGGTTTAATATACGGGCTAAGCCCAAAATTTTCCCCCAAAAAAAAAAAAAGTCGTTTTGATTTGCATGCAATTTTCTCAATTTGTGTCGACTGCCCCGTTTTGCGTGCCGATTTTACCGATAATAAAAAATTGACATTGATAGTGCATTTAGGGTATTGCTGATGTTCCGGTCGCAACAGCGTAGTTTGTTTCGCGATCGGACATCGGGCGAAATTGAGGCCTAATTTCCTTGAAATACGTGTAGTTGCTTTGGAACCGCCTTGATTTACATGCATAAACTTAATTAAACCAATTAGTAGTGCATTTAAAGTATTAACGGTGTTTCAGACACAACAACGGAGTTCGTTTGTCAATCGGACGTCATTTGGGCAATGCCGAGAGACTGTTTTCTCAAAATTTGTGATTTTCCTCAGGATGCGTGCCAACCTCCTCGCATGTCTTAATTTGAAAAAATTGACTATCATTCTTAAGTATTTAGGATGTTTTTGAACGCAGTGGAGAAGTTTGTTTCATGGTCGAATTTCATTTGTGCAGCGTTGAGGCCTATTCACCTCGATATGCATGTTTTATCTTAAAATTCGTGACACAAATATGTATGCTTCAAATTGAGTGAACAAAATATAATTTTTATAGGTTAACAACATTCCGGTCGCAACGACGAAGTGTTCGTCGATCCGATGTCGCTTGATTAGCATCGCTCTTTAATTTTAGGTGTCAGCTGTCCCTTTTGATCGATATCATCTGATTTGACTGCGAGGGGCCTCGACCTAGTAGAATTCGATGTTATGATCACAATGTCGCTGTCCGTTTAGCATTCAGAGGTCATTTGACCCTTTAAGTAGTATATCGCGTCAACCCGCGCGCTGCTTAATTCGTCATTTTCATCCTTTTTGCATATAGTTTAGTTGTAGGGGTCAACACTCTTACATGTTATGGTGACGACAATGAATTCAATAGATAGGAAAAATCTAAAAAACTAAACCATTTAGCTAGCAAGAAGCATCAACTTAAGTAAGACAATGAATACCGACCTTCAATTGCTCATTCGCATCATTTGCCTACGAAATAAACAAGATGACGAAGATGCAAGCTCCTTCGGCCTCGCCTACTTGTGTATTAGGCTGCTCTGGTCTTCCCTGCATCTATATTAGGCTCCTTTGACGAAGACGCACATTCCTTCGACCTTCCATGTTGGCGTTTTATGCTCCTTCGGCCTTCCCTGCATGCTCTTTTGGCCTTCGCCTCGCTTGCTCACATAAACGAAGAGTACTCAATACCCTAACCTTTCCTGCTCGCAAAAATGGAGTGATATGGGTACATTAATGGCTTAAGGCTCATTTTATTTTATTAAATGTTTTTTTCATTAATTAATATGATGCATGTGTTTGACACACGTGTCCCTTTAAATTTAAATATTATTTAATAGGACACATTTTTGTCCTGTCCGACAGTTCGAGCTGTATCGAGTGTGTGTCCATATCAAACACTGTCTCATACTGCATAACTTCATAAGTAAGTGTCACGATCCAGCCCAGATGCTCGATTTAATGAGGGAATTAAAGTCAGACGATATTAACATTCCATTCTTCTAAATGATCACATTAATATAAAATCTCTAAAAGCAATTGAAGAGCCACGATAATAAAGATATTTCATAAAATCTATTCATTTCACTTTTCAAAGCTAATAATTATAACAATCATAATTTACCTATTTTTAATGCTTCGTCGTCTTCTATAGAAGAACTCCTCTCTTTCTGTCATTTCTATATCTTTGGAAATTTACCTGAAATATTGTTTAATGGAATGAGCTTATAAAATAAACTCAGTGTGTAACTATTAAAATAATTAACATGCATAACGTATAATTCACATATAACCTTTGATATATGATCATTCATTTAACATTTGAAATACATTTCCTTTCTTTGGTTCATTTGATTCCATTCATTCCTTTATACATATCATTTTCACTTCATACATTCATTTCTTTATATATATATACTATATCATTTGCATTTATAGCATTTATTTTAATATGTATTCATTTTCTCATTTATTTTGTACAGGAGTATCGTCTAAATATACCAAAGGTACAATCATTTTCATTTCCTTTTCTTTTTCCATTACCTTTTTCCTTTTTAAACCCCTCCAGTTGAGATTTTCTGTCAACGCGACATCACCGGGGTGTAGGGTCATTTTCATTTGAAAATATTTGCATTTTTGCAGATGAACCTTCTCAACTCTAAAGAGCTGCCAACAGAGGATCGGGTTCCTCGTAGGCTTTGTGTTTTTATTAGTGAATTCTCTTGATTACAAGCTTTGAAGGCCTAATATGAATGTATTAAAATAAATATACTGGTCGCTACAACCG